ATATAATGAATTATTTATCAAAGATGTTACAGATGTCTCGAAAATTAGTAATGGTGTTCATTTATGCAAGTCTGGTGTCATAACACGAGTTACCTGTGGGCGCGTAATATCAACAGAAATGCGTCTAGTGGATAGATGGGATAATGAAGATGGTCAGCCATTTATAAACAATTTGGTTTGGGTACAAGGCTTGCTCTCTCGGCCGGGTGATAGTGGTTCGCCCATATTTTCTTATTCATCAGATTTGCGCATGGTGAGTTTAGCTGGCATACTATATGGAAGTACTACAACTATTGCAAGGGATGAATATACTGCTGGTGTATCAGCAACAGAAATTCTAAAACGTGGTAATATAGAGCTTATAACACTTACTAATAATTAAAATTTTATTAAATTGAATGAATATTCCGCGTCATTTTTAACAAATCACGATTATTTGACGTATACTTACGTATCGATATTAATTGATAATGATTATGCTGATATCTATAATAGAAAATAACTACATTTAACCATTCCGCCCCTTAACTATTAGAGCTAGGGTGTAGTTTTAGATGAGGCTTAGGGTTAGATATTAGGACCCCAATTTTGGTTAGCATAAGGTTTTTGGGGTTATTAACATTTTTACTTAGTACCCCTGAGGTGTGTTAGTACGGTTTTGAGATATAGCACCCCGGTGACCTTCCCCCGTGAAAATTAGCAACACTTTTTATAATAAAGTTAAATAAAGATATAATTTTTTCCTGTTACATGCTTCTTTTTTTTTTCCTTTCATTATAGTTGAATCGATCTTTTACACTGCGAATTAGGTTACACCGACGTTTGCAATACTTGGCATTCGAAATTTCGATCATTGGCCGGATTTTCTTTTTGCTGTTTTTATAATTCCTGAAGCACCTACAAAATTAGCTGAATGGTTTTTCGGCTGATTCGGCTAAGTTTACAATTTCAGTATAATAAATTGATATACGTACGTTATGAGAGGAAAAGTTCCCAAAAACTGCCAGGACTAGAGATACTTGACGAAACTATTTTTGAAATGACATCTTGACGTAACTCTTGAAGATTGACGAAACCGTTCGAATCTTAATTTTTTTTTCAAATCATCGTTATTTCATTATAAAGTTTTAACAGTGCCGGGGCACAGGATCGATTTTTCATTTACGCAAGTTCCGAGATCAATTGGCCAATCAAAAATCAGGACCTGGTGTAATGAAAAAAATCCAGAACGTTCTCTTTGCAAAAATCATGCTTTCATTTCTAATACTAAAATATGCACAAATCCTAATATAAATGAGCCTTTTTGTTCAAAGAACATTGATCTCAGAAATTCACATTACCGGATAATCGATCCAGTGGCCTGTCAATTTTATAAACTCATAAAAAAGTGATTTTTTAAATAATGACCTTTTTTTGGTTCGTAATATACTAAAGTTGACTTATACGAACAAATTAGCAAGCTTATGTGAAAACTAAATTTTAGTTTTACATTAAGTGAAATCATGAAGTCGATAATATTGTTTTAGCATCGGTAGTTTTCTTCGTAGAACCCATCGCATAACTCCATCTTCATCAGGTAATATAAATGATGAAAGTTTCGTCATTTGTTAGGCATCTTTAGTCAGAACGACTGAACTAACAGATCTGCCAGAAACGGCAGAACTGACAGAATTAGCAGAACTGGCAGAACTAATGATGTGCAATGCGCATGAAATTATAGAAACATGCGCATGATTTTTTATATATACTTTTAATAATGCCGGTGCGTGAAAAGCAGGGTTGTAAATGTAAACTTACCGATAGTAAGTTACTGGTAAATCACCGTAAGTTACCAAATTACTACGGAGTTAAGCTTAATTTTGGCTGGCATTAACTTTACATGTATAGTCAACTTTTCTATTAAATCTTGGCTAATCATGATCTTTGGCCGATCATATGTATAATCTTGACCGATCATATGTATAATCTTGGCCAATTAAAGTTTTTTATCATGGTAATTTACGACCGGGGTAAAATCGCCACCCAAAAAAGTTTCGAAAATCATGTGATACTGTCTATTTATCATGATTAGGATCATGATAATATAAAATATTAATTGATAGCAAATGATTTTTTTTCTTCGATTCTTCAAAATGAAAAGCGATCTTTGCAATTTCGACAAACCAAGTGATTCTTTAAAAACATAAAATACAATAAACACGATATTCTAAAAATATACATTGATTGCCGTAACCAAATTTCCAAACGAAAAAAAAGAA